GACAAGATTATTTCAGAAGCTGGTTTTCAGCTTCAGATACCAAGGAAAAAGCCTTGTTGGAGGAAAAGATAGAAGGAGAAGAGAAAGGAGTTTGCTAGGAGAAGGAGGAACTGGAGAGGGGCATGGAATTGGGTGGTTTTTGTTGATGAAGCTACTATCATCTATGATTGAAAACCTGTTGGGAGAAAAGTCAGGATAAGAGCTGGTGATAAGCTGGAAGAAAAAAACTTAAAGCCTAGCTTTAAGTCAAGAAGTACTAGCATTGGTGTCTATACTGCAATAATAAAGGTTGGGAGGACTGAGTTAATTCTTGTAAGAAAGAGGAGGGAGGAGGAAAGAAGTAGTAAAAGAGATAGACTTAGTCTCAATTCCTACTAATATGCAACTGAGATCTACCAGCCATACCTTATCTCTTTTATAGAAGGTCTGGATAGACCTTCTGAAAACATCTACCTAGCTGCAGATAATGCTTCCTGGCATGGTGGCGAGGAAAATTGAAAATTGCTGGCAGACTGTGATTACAAAAAACTCCCTTAGCCACCCAACCCTCCAGATCTTAATCCTATTGAGAACCCCTGGGCACTACTCAAAGGAGTCCTCAGAAAGTGATTCTCCAGATTGGAAAGAAGGCTTCATAGTACTGCAATTATTTCAGACACCAAAGAAGGAGTGAGATTTAATTCTCCAAGAGGCATTGGATGCTTGGATAGAAAGAATGCCAGAGAGAATTCAGGCTGTTTTGGAGGCAAATAGAGGTCATACAAAATGGTCATTGGATTTCTTTAAAGCTTAGGTCATGTACTTTCATCCATTCCTTAATTGACTTTGTATCTTGATTTTTTGTATGATTGAATTCATTAAGTGTTGTGGTTGTGGTTGTTAGGCAAAGGTATAATTATTAAACAGACACAACTATACTATAAAATCTCCAGTAATTGAACAATATACTATAAAGTCATAATAAGGTGTGAAACTGGAAAGCATGGATATTACCATATAAGTAACTATATTTAGACCAAGAAAACAAAAGGTTTCAGGAGTAATCAACAGATATTGCCATCCACTCCAACATCAACTCATTATTGTACAAGTGATAATTCATAGCTAACTCTTGTAAATAGATATAAATAAATAACGAAAATGATAAGAAAGTAATTAAGAATATAGAATACATTGAAAGTGAAAATGTCAATAAAGACCTCCAACAAAAAAGCAGCAGGACATATCAAAGTCCAAACAGATCTTCCAGCTCTCCCTCTAACAAAGTTCTACACCAGAATAAAAAACAAAAAAAAGGTGGCTTAAAGTAAAAACCTTTAAGCAAAGCCCTTCAGAAAGTCTTACAACTGAAGTCAGTTCAAAATCTCTATCAGTCATATACAGTTAACTATAAATTACTCATCTTTTCATCCTGATATAAAGTATCTATATCTTGTAGCCTGACAAGATTGCATAAACTCAGCCAAAATGTAGTAGTGAAATAATTCAAGATACCTGTTGGGAATCTTACTCTATAGAAAAAAAAAGAAAAAAGAGAGAAAGTACAGAGCCCAAACAAAGAAGCAGCAGCAAGTAGTAGGAGGTCAACAACAATGGTAGTGAGAAGAAATGGAGCAAGAACTATTTCTCCAGTTTCAGGGGCGATGGACTTTAGGAAGACCAGTGAGGCAAGAGTGGTTCCAGAGAGTAAGTAAAAAGCTATTTGCTAATCTCCATCCAGAGAGGAATCCAAAGGAGTTCCACTACTCCCATGGATAGTTTCATATCTTTTTGACTGCGGATCAAGTTAGTTTAAGAACTGTAACCAATATTGTAAGTAAACTTTCCCAAGACTTTGGGGATTCTATACTTGGTTGGATATTGCATAATCAGTGGAATTTACAGCTGTGAGTGGGAATGAGCAGGATCTAAGAAATAGTGAAGAGGTGGTGGGAACATATCATCTACAAAACATATGTAATATGGATCTAATACCCCTTCCATTTGAGTATTTGGAGGGCCAGACTTACAATACTACTAGGGAAAAAACTATTTGACTTCAGTCAACAAGGTCTGGTTGGGACAAGAGCGAAGGAATGATTCAACTTACTATGTTTTCTGATGGTATTCCTCAAGCCTCTCCTCTCATTCTTTTTTTAGAGGAAAAGGAATCAGATCATCAATCCTAACAGAATAGCAACTCTATGATCCCTAGGTAGTGGTAAAGCTTAATCCTACCATTTATGCCAATTCAACCAATATAGTTGAATAGCTCGAGACTTAACTTATTCCTGTACTGGATTGTCAGCTAATACTTCTTGCTCTTAAACTCTTTGCTGGGTATAAGATTAAAGAAGTTCTTGATATCTTCAAGGCTCACAATATCACAGTAAGTGTGATGCCTGCTGGCTGCACTGGGATTGTGCAGCCACTAGATATATCCATTAATTGGCCCTTTAAAGACATATGGAAGGTTAGTACAAATTGGAAGAAAAAGAAAAAAAAACATACTAACTTAAACATTATGGTACCTAGGAGGCTTTAGAAGCAAAGCTTACCAACATTGAAGATGAGGAGAAGATACTTGCTGACAGGAGCCTACTTCAAGGGAGCATAGTTGGTCTGTGAAGGGTTGCAATGATAAGGGCGGTTGGTGAGGCATGGAAGTAATTTTCAGTGGAGCAGGAGGAGGTTGTCTGAAAGGCCTTTCAAGTAGTAGGTCTTTCACTCCCTCTTGATGGAAGCTAGGAAATGGAGATATCTGTAAAAGAGTTGGCCACAGATTTTCTAAAAGCAGGGCTAGAGAACTGCGGGATAGCAGAAGAGGTTGAAGCAGATGATCAGGAGCTTGAGGAGGAGGATGAAGATGAACTTAATTTTTCCTATGATTAGATTAGTACCAAGACTTTCTAAAACTGATATTGCGCAATTCTGTTAGCAATTTTTGGTATGACTCACCTTAATTCCACTTCCTAGCACATTGTTCAATTATTCGATATTCTACGGTAGACTTCTAAAGTAGCATACAGTAAAACCCCTTATAATGCGCTTTCTCCGCCAGGCCTCTAATCGCCTGGTCAGCAACGATAGTGTTTGAGAAGGAATACTGTAGTTCGAGTCTTGTGACAGTGTTGGATCTCGTTAGTTGATTTTCTCAACCCTGTGAGCTTGTCAACTAAACCTATTATGGGTCGATGTCGTGATTGACAGCGATAGACGACGAAATTTTGAGACGACAAAATGTTTTATTGAACTACACAAATGTTTTATTGAACTACACAAGTCATGTTGAGCCGATAGGCACTCAGGAGGAGTGCTCAGGTTGTGAGCTAGTGAACAGCCAGGGGTTGTAGCGGCTAGCCACAACCTTAGCACGAATACCGCACTGCACATTCCTCTGTTCCCTATCTCCGGAATACACAAATTCCCAGAGTCCACCCCAAGCATCCTGCCCAATATAAATTTAAAGAACTAGGACAATTTCTCGAGCCGATGACCCCTTAGCATTCAAAATGAGAGCTTTCTCCACCAACCATTTTCTCCCCCCCCCCCAACTTACTCGGAGACTTCACTTCAGGTGAAACCAAACCTGGAGATAGCATACTTGAACTGACATACACAGGCTCACCCTATCCGCCACTCCTGATTCCGGATGGTGTACCATCGCATTTTCGCACTCAGGTATCCTTCCATTCAGAATGGATCCTGATTCACCATGATATATCTCAGGAATTGGGGGTTTCATTATCGTTTCGCTTGACAGTATCCTCGCGCCGTGTTTTCTCACTACTCCAGAGAAATTGGACAGGACAATAGAGTCCCAGAGTGGCGGTAGGAGTTCTGCCCTGTACCTGGGAATGTGCGAGTGAGTGATGCTATTGGGAATCGCAGGTGTCCACCGCCAGGGAGTAGACCGAGAAAACAACCAAAAGGTTTCCCCCCTGAGCGTACCTCCATTGTCCGTTTTACCTCTGTCACTGAGATTCCGTTTACCCAATAAGATAGTTTCGGCACAGGAATAAACCAAACCCCACCGTCATAACCGGACGTTTTACACAACCTTCCTCTATGGCTATTGGGCCAGACTATATCCGTTGAAATTCCAGAACACGGAGAATACCAGAACATTTTATCCATGCTGTTCCAGAAGATTTAGTAGCTGGAGAAGAACTTCTCCTCGTCATGGGGTCTTTATTCTTTGCTTGAAGAGGAGTAATAGGCTTGCTGAGCTCGTCCTCGTACTTGGTATTAAGCTCTGCAACAATCTGAGGCTGCTTAACATCTCTCCTTTTGCGAGAGGAAGACGCAACATGTCGCAACAAGTATCATACCTTTCAATTTCAGTGCCCAAAATTCAGAATGCGCAAAGGGGTAAAAAGTGGACACAACCACAAGAGAATCCCCCTAGAGATCATTTCCAGGAGTCCTCTCTTACGCCCTGCTCGCCACGCCACAATGTCTAGTGTAGTTTTGCATTTCCTCAGAAGGAAAATTATAAAAAAAGGTCGAGGTCAGCACGTGCTAATGAGAAAACCCGGTTTCTCTTGAAGATAGGATACATGCTAAAATACTGAAAATTCTACCCCTCAGCAACCCCCGCATCCCCAAAATTCTGTCCTACTTCGTATTGCATGATACAATAATGCAAGAACGTAACCATTTTGACGCAGTGCATTGTCTTTTTCCCAGGCATCCCCTCAAAAGCTGGGGATTTCTGGTGACCCAGCCAACTCTAGGTTTGCTCCATTTTGCCTGTACCGGTATAATATTATATATATTGTCACGAAACGGCCTCACTCGAAATTTGATATACTACCGCAACCTATATAAACGGGCCACTAAGCGTGTTTTCGCCCGCTGGAGCACGGTAAAAGGTTCGCCCCTATCGCAATATCAACTATACATTCTCCAACCTGCCCCCAGGTGCTAACCCTGTTATCATACACCCTCCTTTGTAGAAATGGCCATAGATTTCGGGTCGCAGCGCAGCTACTAACTTATGCTTCAACTGACTTGTCACCCTATGATACTACAGTCCGGGGAGAGGGGAGCAGCTGAAACTCCAAACTCTCACTCCCCCTACTACTGTTACGGTGCTGTGCGAGATCTTGAACAGTTAACTTCCCCATAACTACTCATATTTGCTCCACACCCAACCCCCAGCATTGGTCTCCAATTGCCCACAATCGCCCCATCTAAGCCAATCACTCGATTTTTCGTCAGAAGGATCCAACCAAATCTTGAGTCATAGAAATCCATTCGCTATTGCAATGTCTCCCAAGATTTTCTTTTCTATATAAGTTGGTTGACTAGCACCCTTGCTCGGATTAATAGCTCTCAATCCCTCTTCCAAATTTTTCACAGCAAGCGCCCGACGGCCTTCTTCCACAGTACAGGTTCCCCTTTCCAACAATTGTCGAGATGCTAAATTGCCTGCACCATACTTACGCTATGAGCCTGAAAACACCTATGATATAATACAAAAAGGCTTCTCAAAGGCGGCCACCTCGCCCACATTTTCCTCACTCTGGAGCCCACAATGCCGGTAGGTTGCCCCTCCGGGGATCGGAACCGAATCTCGAGACCCGCCCTTCAAAGCTGGACTCGATCAACCCAAGAGCTACGCTTTCAGGCATCAACATCTCAGTCCCAATTTACCACGCAACCCTACTCGTACCCCACAGAAGAGCCGCCCCCCCAACGCAAATTCCGGTTTCAATTCCTAACAAACGCTATTGCCTTCTGAATCGGGCGGGCAAACTCGGAGGGTATTCACACACCATCACTCGAATTTCGCCTTCTGCACCTCGCTAACCTCGGTAGCAACCTTTCGGCCCGTAAGTTGCAAGTCAAACGATTAACACCGAAGGTGGCTATCGAGTTGAAGGCTCTCATAAATTTATATTCCGCTTGCAGATGCCTCCTTCCTTTTGAGTACCGTAGCCGTGGCCGTCGGTCCAGCATTCGCACAGTAGCAGGTGACCAGGCGCCAACACAAAAGGACTGCCTGCCACAATTGACTAACTCTTAAGTTGCCCAGCCCTAACAACCTAAAAAGCATTCATTCACATCTCAGGCTCTAGAATTCATATCGATTCTCGCACATTCATCATTACGTCGATGACGCAAATACCCAAGGGCCAAGGCTCAGTGATGGACGTTGGGGGGGACCGTCCGTCAGTCGTCATTGTGATAACAACAAAGTACTCGTACTACTGTATGTACGATACAGTAATTTGACATCACCCCACAGGCACCGCCTCACCGCCTCACTTTATCGCTCGGCGAACGCCACGAGTACGGTAAGGTGGCAGTGTTACCACGACACACCCTCCAAAATATCCTTGTCCCTCGCCTACGGCACTCCGCCACGAGATCCCGATGAGCCACCACAAACGATCTAAACACAGACACGATCCAAACATGGTAACCCAGTATCTTGGCGAGGGGTGCGCAATGGCTTTGTCCAGACCAGAAACGAATACTCGAGTACCGCCATGGCGGCTCTAGAGCGAAAGCGACAGGACATTGGCGAAATCTGTGTGGACGCAAAGAGCGCGCGAGCCAACATGGGGGAGGAAAGGGAAAAAGGAAAGAAAGGGCCAAGTCAGACCATTCTCGATAATCGTTCGATCCGTGAGTCTCTGATTGGGACATTTTTGGCGGGAGATACCGCCAATCTTGTGTGTCTTTGCTTTTCTGCCCGAAGCGAAAAAGGCGTGGACGAACTGGGTGATGCGATTTGTCTCGAGTACAGGAAAATGTCTTAAAACAGGATGAGATTGACCGGTTGAAGCATAGTTCGCTCCCCCTTCCTCCTCCTTCCTATCCGAGAGGCACATGAGGCTCAAGCGAGACATTGTCTCACAAATTGTCATAGAGGGGGGGAGAAAGAGGCGGTCGGCCACGTCAAGACTTAGACTATCCTGACCAGAACAAGCGAGTGAGAGGAAGAGGGAAGAAAGCCACCATACCTTATGCTTATTCTTCCCCGATGCGAACTATGCCCGCACGCACGCACGCGATATGCATATCGTACAGGGCCGTATTCCACTCGAATGGAAATGCTGCCCCGCGAATTTGATTGAAATCGTGTGCTACGGGGAAAGAACGAATCCAGTAAAGAAGAACGAGCCCTACGGAATTTCTATGATGCTTCTCTGCAGGAAGCAAGCGCCCAAGACCGAAAGGGAACAGGAAATAAAGTCCAAAATTAATATTTCGTGGATAAATATGGCGGGTATTGGAATTTCACACGGAGATGTGGTTGGTTAAGGATATCACATCAGCCTAGTTTATCCCAATCTTCTTCCCTACTCCGATGCAAGTACCCATCTTGAGTACAGTACTCGAGTGCTCGAGTACCAGTGCTCGTGCATTGTGCCTCGGTTGGTCGGTGGCTGTCATGGTTGTGGAAGCGGGCAGTACCTTTCCAGAAGAACCCGACGCTACGGACTGGAAATCCGCGGCCGGCTCCGCCTGATCAACCCCACACCAAAGGGCGATAACACAATCGGTAGATTTTTATTTACTGATTCGGTCAATCTGAAGGGGAAAAACCTATCACTGACCTGCCGGGCAGGAAAGGGCAGGAAAATCTTACCGCATGATTAGAAAGTGGAGGAGGGGGATTGGGATACGGAGGGAGGAGGGGGGGAAGGAAAATATCCCTGCTCAGCTGAACTTTGCAGGAGCGAGGGATTTAAACTGTTTCCCTACGAGGTGCATTGGCAGGAGCTAAGGTAAGGTAAGGTAAGTGGATGGCTTACTCGCAGAAAGCCATGATATGTATGATACCCACAAGTCAAACGATCACTTCTCCCCCCCCTACGGCGCCGTAGGGCGGAATTCGCGTATGAAAACAAGATCAAGAAAAAAAGGAAATCGAACCCTTTATCTTTCTTCTTCCTCTTCCCCCCCCCCTTTTTTTTCCTTTTCTTTCATTTCCCGATCCTGTGCTCAATTGCGTCTGTTTGGAAATAAGTGGTGAGGGTGCAGACGTGATGATATGATTGGCCCGTTATTCGAATTAAGTGTGGTGCAACTGGGACATCATTCGCTACTCCCGTGCGATGGTTACACGGTACTAATGGAGTATCGTACTTGTGTCACCGGGAATCTTTCCCCAGACAGATGGTGAGTTGAGTCAGAACTCTACCGCATGTCCCATGGAGATATTGTATCAGACATACACCTACACCCATACGTTCTACGCTGCTGTAATATCATACAAAGGCTTAACTACAACACATCGCATACCAAATTGAACTGTAGGGTATGCAAAGGGATATCCACTATAACGGGTAGCGTGGTTTTATTCCCCTTCCCCCTCCCATCAGCCCAGTATCTTACACCAGCGGCTGCCGCAACGTTTCTCCCTCCTCCTTTTTCGTTTCTGACTGTGTATCTTGTCCTCCTGACAAGGCATACTTGAATCGCGATACCGGCACCATATCACGCACCACAATAGAGTATTATATCGTATAGGAGAGGTACAGTGCGGCAATGCCCCCGATATTACGAGTGGCATCTGCGAAAAAGCACGGCACAGCACAGCACAATATGCATTACTGTACGCTGCAGCGCATTTCCCGACGAAAAATATCTGGCAGCTATGTGGGGGAATGGGGGGGGGAGGGGGGGTTTGAGAGATTGATTGATGGGGACCAAGTAGCGGAGCATAATACAATATTTGGGGGTTAGCTGGTCAGTCAGTTCGTTAGTTAGTCAGTCGTTACTTATTGCTACCGTAGTTGGTTGTTTGTGTGTGCACGTAGATGTCGCGCAGCAGCGCATTCGCATGTTCAGTTGTGGTAGGTTCGGCGGGTGTGTGTGATATTCTGCCCATGCTCCGTGTACTTGTAGTCCTCGGATCTAGCTACCGTGCCTGGTGCCGGAAGGGATGAACGAATCGATGAATGAGTGAATGAGTTCAATGAATGGGTAGGCTTTCTCGATCCACTGAAAGGGAGGGAGAGAGCTTGGTACGGTAGACTAGTCCAAGGCCTACCTTGCCAAAAGACCGTGGAAGAAATGTGATGGGATGGATGGACCGTTATCTTGAAGTAGGAGGAGACTCGTGGAGGAGTACCGTAGGAGATGTTTTAGTCCTCCCTCCCCGTCCTTACTAACTCACTCAACCTCAATATTGAGGGATTCACGGTGATTTCCCCGCTACTAGTACAAGTACGAATACAGTAGACTGAGCCAAACGAGCGAATGAGCTGTGGAACAGCAGGCGCCTAGCGTGTCACACATACAAGGACCGTTGTACGAGTAGATACCGTAGTTGGTAAAATAATGTGCTGACAATAACGTACCGGTCTGCCAATCGAAGATCATTACCCAGACCGCCAGAGGCAGAGACAAAATCCAGGAACTCGTATCGTGCTTCACAACGGTATCAAAACTAGCGCTCCCTCCATCCCACCACCATGGAGCCCGACCGGGACAAAATCTAGCTCGGTGTATGGGACTTGTGTAAGCTATGATACTATATTTTGCCGGATATGGTTGAAGCTAAAATAAAATGAAAGGAGGTGAAAAGTGAAAAAAAAATTTAAATTAATAGGAAAGATTAATAGGGGAGGTGGCCCCGATTACGGTATCTATCATGCTATGTAGCAGGACGATAGGGGGAGGGGGGGGAAGTGGCAACATTTAGGAAGGCGAGAAATGTTTAATCTCCAGGCAACAATCTCAAAAGCACACACCACCCACCGACCCATACCATCCCACCCACCCGCGCACTCGGCGACAAAAGGCCCGCTATCCACGGATCCCCAATGGTTTGGGTAAAAGGGAGAAGAAGAAAAAAAGAGAAAAAAAAGTCCCCATTCCCCCCCTCCCCCCTGAAACCTAACTCGTCCGCCCACCTGCCATCAGATATGACAGCGGGATCAATCAGAGGACCAAAACCCGGGCAAGAATTTCCAAGAAGCCCATGATAAATCAAATCAAGTCAGCTTTTCAAACAGGAACACTAATTATTGGAAGAGCGGGGTGGAGAGGCGTTCTTCTGGATATCATATACGGGTTTGCTCCCATAAATCCTGATCAAATCACAGCCAGAACGGGCAGGGAAGGGAGAAGAAAAAAAAAAGAAGAAAAAAAAGGAATGATAAAAAACTAAATAAGAAGCACCACGCAGTTGCAGTTACTTGTAAATCCTATCATCTGGCCAATCAGACTAGGAGTAGGTGCCCCAAGTTTGGCTTTTCGAAACCTACCGTATTGTAGGATGGAAGAGGATGGTAGTGGTGGTGGTGGTGGTACGGGTGGATCGGTGGTAGTACGTGTCACTCCGTGAGAGAGATCAGAGGAGGAGGGGAGGAGGGAGGGGAGGAGGGGGGGCTAAAGATAGATATTCTACACTATACGTGAGCTAATTGGGAAGGGGAGGAGCAAAAAGGCTTGATTGAATTTATTTATTTATTTATTTTTATTATTTTGGATGATGGATTGTCGAGCGTTGCTATCTTGGTACAGTAGTGGTGGACTGGGGCTATGTATGAAATATGCTTTTCCGAGGGGAGCAGGTAACGTGTGGGTGGATGGATGGATCCGTGGGAGTGGGTGGATTGGGGTGGATGGATGCGTGGGAAGGGAGGTGCTGCAGAGACCGACAGTCAAGTGAATCGGGTCTGGCGGCACGTGGGTGCATGCTTTTGTATTATGGAGTCGAACGAACGAATGGGGTATTGCGGGATAGCCCAAGTTTCCCAAGTTTTATGATACCGTGCGTAGGTGGTGAGTTGTGTGGAGCGGGGAGGCATCGTGCTGCTGGTACGTACCATTGCTGTAGGGAGGTGGCAATTTGTAGTGGAAGGCGGGAGGGAGGTGATGGTGATATCTTCTTGTAACAGTATGCAAATCTCTTGTGCGAGGTTTTACAAATGATTTGCGGAGGATTGCAGTGTTTCAGCGTTATTCCTGTCTCTGTGGGACTCGAGGTGGTCAGATGGAGGAGGAGGAGGAGAAGGAGGAGGGGATGGAGAGACACGAAATACGATCGTCCTTCCTTCAGGACAGACGTTATACTAGGCTAGCCCGAGATGAGAGTGTGATTACCATACTCGTAGTACCGGTATGTTGTTTCTAGTATCATACTGCAGACTAGCTCAGCGTAAATCTGTCGTGGAGGTAATGACAGCGGACTAGTGTGCTGGTACGATACCATTCTCTGCTAACAATGTTATCGTGGAGCGATATGTTGCACGGTGCCCCACAAGTTTGCTGTTCGTTTCAAGGTTTCAAGGCAGAAATAAGCTGTGATACCTGCCGGTCAGTTCAGTACCTGCAGTGGCCCATCGGGCCCAATTTCAGTGGAATCGAATCAAAAATGATACAACTACCCTAGAATACCAGAGCAAACACACACACACACATCATCACGACTGCATTGGTTGACAAAGAAACCCAAGCTCATCCAAATTTCGTCTGGGTTGATTCTAGAGATACAGGCCCTTCACTCACCAAACGTAGAAGCCAGACCAATCCAAAAGCGAATCCAGCAGAGCCCATCCATAGGTCTCCTTTACACTATTTGGATGGTGTGTATGCACGGTACGTATATATGCATTCCTATACATAAACGTCGTCCGAATCGCATGGCGCATGAATCAAAATCAGCACGATCGATACCCTTCATTTATCACCGTAAAATTTACAACGGTGCTAGGACGGCGACCAGCTATAACATGGAACAATATTATACAACATCAATCTATTACCTTGCTGGAAGTTCTAACCATACAATTCTCGAGTATTGGATAAACCTAGTACGGTTTGTCTATCTTTAGAAGCACACTTGAGCTTGCGCTAACCCACCCCGACTGCAAACACAACACTACACTGTCGCACTTCTTGTTCTACTACTAGTGTACACAGCCCACATGGTTAAACAAGCGAGCGACATCCCATCGGTCACCACGATACTTGTACAGTACCTCCTCCTTGCCCGATAAATAGACATTACCTCGGTCCCTCATGTCCACCATCCACGCTAACAGTGGCAGTGTAAATGCTTGTTTTCACCTCTCCCCCTCCCCCTTTCTTTCTTTCCCCCCTCTCGAGGTAGTCTACGGCTCCGTGTACCTCATACCGCATCGCACTTTACAAGTACATGCGTGTTCCGAAACCACCCTAGATACATACCCTACGGTTCTCGCTTCACAGTGTACCGGTACCCATACGCCAGTTCATTCATTCAGATGCTGCACAATGGGCAAACGTAATTGGAGCTAGTCAGTGGTGTACCAGTAGCCAAGTGAGTAAGGAGTTTCGCTTTGTGGTGGTGGTGGAGAGACATTGATTGTGGTTATCACAATTATTATTATTACCATTATCATCATTATTACCGGTATTATTATTGGCTTCTGGCAGTGCCTTTTTGGGCGCTGGCGGGTGGGTGCGGAATTGTGGTGGAGGATGGGCCGGGAAGGGAGGTGTCGTGATTGGAGTGTTTTCGCGAGGAGGGCGTGGTGATGGTTTGGTTAGTGGGTTGGGTTTGGCCGAGGAGGTAGGTACGAGTACCGTGATATGGGATCCGTCGTGCATTGTGGTAATGCACGAGTAAAGTACGAGTACTCGTACAGGATGCGGTGTTGGTGGTGGCGATCGGATAGGGCGGGGAAACTATCCAGGCATGGGAGTGGAATCGAGTGATTTTGATGAAGGAGTTGGATAGTTCCACCACGATCCGAGTCGTGAATTGTCGAGGGGGTTCATATGGGGCCAATTACAATCGAAATTGAACCATCTCTATTGGCACTTTACTCCACTACAAGTGTTCGAGTACAATAGAGGTACTCCACAGTACCGGTATTACTGTTCACGCACCCTTCCTCATCCATCCTCTCACGACAACCACCCACAAGGCCGAGCTGCATGGTACTTTCATCATGATTCACACGGAATGAGGTATGACAAACCTTACTTTTTCCACCCACATCCATCGATCCATCCCACCCATCCACTATCCATGCACTATTTATTTATTTATTTATTTTATTTTTTTTGCCCTCTCTCCCTTTCAGTTGTGTAGAGTACTGTCCTTCGTTACACCGCCCCACCTAAAATAGCGATATTTCATCGTTCTTCCCTTCCCCTTCCCATCCGCACACAACGTACCGGTTGGAACACAACCCCCCCCCCACTCTGTGAAGCATGATGGGCCAAATGTTTGAACTCGTCCATTACCGTACATGCGTATGGTTATCCAGATGGGAACTTGCCTGCGTCGGCGAGTGGAATGAAAATTGGTCTGTCCGGCGCGGTGCGGTGCGGGAAGGGATTGCTTATTACTGTACTTACCACAGTATCTTACAGGTGCAGAGGGAATGAGGATGCATGGTGTGCTATATAATATGGCACGGTAGTTTGGGTAGACTACTGGGTATGGTAGTCTAGCCTTTCGTTCTCGAGGGAGCGAGCGTCATGATGCGTGCGGGAAGCGAGCATGAATGGGTTTAATTATAATTATTACTGTCGGGCATTGGATGATTTTGGTTTCTCCGTGAGATCTGTTCTCCTCTTCTGGTGCGGTTCCGAGGGAGGTGCTTTTGCCGAGGTATCATGCTTTGGGAAACGCGAGAATCATGGTGAAAATGGGTACTTGCAGCAGATAAAATATTTTTTTATTTAAAATTTTTTCGGTCGCTAATTTTCAGGTTCTTCGCCTACCATGCGATGGGAAAGGGCATGGTTGGTAAGCTCGGATAAGTGAACGAGTTGGTTGACGTTCCCATCTTCAAACTCGGCGGAGGAAGGGGGAGAGCGGGGAGTGGAGTGGAAGTGGAGAGGGAGGGGTGGGAGAGATGGCATCATGGTGCTTCTTGGCTCGCTCCTTTGCCCAGGTTGGGCCCATGCATGCGCCTCAACAAGAGGCTGGTGAAGCAAAGCCTCAAGCACAAGGATGAAATGGGAACAAAAATTTCCTTTCTTTTTCCTTTCTTATTACCCATCTCTCTTCTTTTTTCCTTTTATTGATTTCTTCCTTGGGTACGGGAGTCGCCGGGGTCGGATTGGCTTCTACTTTTGTTTTCTGGGTGATGGGTGCTGGCCCTGGCTTGCTGTCGCTGGTTGGCGCTAGGACTATTCGGGACTGGACGGGTGCCTTGGGGTCTCCGTCAGCCCTGTCAGAGAGGGAGAAGGGGAAATGCGAGCAGTGAGAGTGAAGGAAGGATGCAATAGGCGGGTGTGAATATTATTGAGTACTGACTGTGCTGGGCCTACAACTGAAATCTCTAAGAAAAATGTGGATTCTGTATCGTGAGATCTTGTCCAATCACCCGATAACTGGGATAATGTGTCAGGATTGGGGGTACTTGTACCCTACAGTACTGGGGCGGGTGTGTGTGTGTGTAGAGGATGGCATTGATGAAAAAAGGAAAAGGGATCAGTCTCAAGCGCGTGAAAAACCAAGAAACCTGTACCATCATGATATCCTTTCCATTTCTGTCAGGGTCACTACTACTCGAGTACAGCGTAGTACCGGTACTTGGTTGAGCTCATGAATCTAAACTGTGACCAAAGGGCCGTTAGCGAAAGTTGATCGAGTCCTACACTTCATCCATCATTCTGCGTGGTAGTCCAAGAGTGACCATAAGTTCCGCAGAGTGCTACTGTACTTGTACGATACAGTACGCTGGAATTTCTGTAACTATCATTCGTACCTCGCCCACCTGCTGCGCTCGCTGCGGATCTACTGCTCCCTGACCTAAACTACAGTACCCAAGCTTTTGCCTTCTCGGCCGCCTCCTACGACTCGCACAAAAAAGTAAGTCAATGAAAAAAATAAATAAATAAAAATAAGAACATGATTGGGAAGGTAAGGAAAAAGGAAAAAAGAAAAAAGGAAAGAATAAAAAAAAAGAACTGGGTGGTGGACTTGGAGGGAAGGAGAGAAAAAGGAAAAAAAAAAAGAGGAAAATGCTCTCGACCCAAGAATAAGGGTTGCACACATCCTTTCCGCCCGCCAATCCAATACCATACACACTCACCCACACCAACAAGATGTTATCCGTACCCACCTCATCCAACAACATAGCCCCCATCCGATATTTAAGAGCATCACTTCTCCCGATCAGCGAAATCGACCCGGGGAAAAGAAAAAAACTACAGTATCTCGAATACAGGCTCACTGGAAGGGCTTTTCGTTTAAAAAGAAAAGGGTTGAAAGCTTCTTTCCCACGAAACATACAACACCGTTCAGCTTGACTTCTCGATTTCTCGGAAAATTGATTTGACGAGAGAAAAAAGAAAACCATACTCGAACCTGTCAGCCCAACGTTCGGTTTCAGTTGAGCTCAGTTCAGCTTGGATATGGCCGCATCATCATCATCACAAGCACCCACATCGGCTTCAATACCTACCAAGGACACCACAGGAATGGCAGACTTTGTGCTCTTTGATGATGACCCTTTATATCAGGAGTACCGACCGCGCTACGACAATGGAGGATTCCCTCAGTCGGGTGTAGATTCTTACGTCGCTATGCTGGAACAACCGAGTGAGGATCATCAACCAAAGTTATACATGGCCGGGCTACAGCCCGGCTCGACCTCCTTCGAGACCTACCCTCCATACGCCTACGATGAGGTACCATTGACCATGGGGTACGAGCCCGGACCAGCTCCAGGCGTGTTGATTCACCCTCCCACCCTACCATACTCACCTCACGGCAACATCACAGCGAGCCTGGAGTACCGAACACCTATTTCCCCGGCTACTTCGGCTGGCGGACCGGAAGGCAGCAGTGCTGGCTCGGAGGCTGGGAGCACAGGAAGCCCATACCCACAGCAAATTGACGACCCGTTCAGTTCGGTGTATGTCGGTATGTGACTTGAACAAGTTTCCAGTCCACTAGCTAGGAACTAACAGTTAGTCGCAGATATAGATCCATCATTAATCATGCCCTCACCGTCGCAACAATTCGAAGACCCTTGTTCGGCCGCGTCATCGCGAGGTTCGCCGAGTTGGCACAGTGCACACTCACCTCCTCCTACCTCGAATCCTTCGTCGCCAGAATTGGGAAAGCGGAGTGGGGGAAGGTTGTCGCCCTTGAGGCAGTACAGGACAGCACCATACCCGAGCCGGAGATTGAGCGTTACTTCACAGAGCTCTTCTCGCAGCTATGGTTCGCCCAGTGGGCCGTCGGAATTGGAGGATATGTATCCAGCGGCACCCGGTGACATACCGCGAAGAGCTCCAAGTAGCAATGGAAGTGGAACGGGGAAGGATACTCTTTGCCCGGAGTGCAAGAAGTCGTTTAGGGATCTCAAGTATGCCTCCTCCTTCGTTTGCTATAGGGCTGAGAGGCTAACAGGAGTGTCAGGGCACATCAACTCACACATCAACTTGAAAGGCCAGTTAAGTGCCCCATAGCGACATGCGAATACAGCAAGAAGGGATTTGCAAGGAAATACGATTGTCAACGCCATACATTGACCCACTACAAAGGCACCATGGTCTGTGGCTTTTGCCCGGGCAGTGGATCAGCAGCAGAGAAGTCCTTCAACAGAGCCGACGTATTCAAGCGCCATTTGATGTCGGTCCACAATGTAGAGCAGACCCCACCCAACTCTCGTAAGCGTCCTCCAACAAAGACATCACCAGCCGAGGACCGCTATGCCGGAGCTTACGTTACTGGAAAGTGCTCGACCTGTTCAATCACCTTCGCCACGGCCCAGCAGTTTTACGAGCATCTCGACGAATGCGTGCTATCCAAGGTTGTTCAAGAGGAACCCGCAGCAGCATTCAACGAGATGAACCTGGACAGCGTAAAGCTCTCCGACATGGACCCCCCATCATCAAACCCCGCAGACCCCACCTCCTCTGATAGTGAAGACGAGGATGAGGATGAGAAAGACACAACCTTCAATCCGGCAACCAACAAATCAGCCGCCAAGATCCGCATAAAAAAGGGAACTATCAAGCACTCCGGCTCCGGCGCCGGGAGCACGCAGAGGTGACAATCAGCCCACTCCCGCCCACGAGCCGGGAGTGCCAAAACAAAGACCATTCGCCGCAAGCGCAAGAATTTTCCGGCAGGGTGGGGATGTCAGCCTGAGCAGATGGTCACGAAGAGACGCTGCCTGATGGTATTCGATGGACCAAAGTTACTCTGCAGAGACGAGATGATGATGTCAAACGAGTGGGAAGTGCGTGCTCAGTTGGGCGGTAGCGGTGGCAGCGATGCTTACATTTCCGATCTGGACTTTTGGACGCTGCGCCGGGCGGAGGCTTTCTTGGATGCTGCACCCAGTAGGAATCCGCAGGGGGCTGCCGTCGGAGAGGTTAGGTAGTCCCTTCTGTGGACAACTTCGTGGAAGTGGGGAGGGGAACTGGTGTGTCCATGGCGGGTGCATTGGTATAGCGGGCGGAGTTCCGCTACATTTTATCCCTTCCTTCCTTCCATCCTATCGATACCTTTTACATTCTTGACTTGTATTCTAGCTATCTCCTCCTTTCTTTTATTATTTCTACTTCTCCATCTAGTTTTAGTATTTACTATCTTTCTGTCTGTCGCGATTCGGGGCATTGGGGGTTTCCTTTTTTTCTTTTTCCTTTCCTTCCGTCACTGTAGCACGCAGGAGAAGGCAGGGGCCGCCTGGATGGCCATGGGCTTTTCTTTTTCTTATTTATTCCCTTGACGAGGTTATGCTTTATGCATGTTATGCTATCGATTGATTGAATGTTATGGGAATTATCATCATGTCCGGAATAAGCGAATTGTGTGTGGGGTTTTTTTCTTTGATTGATTTGATTGATTGTTTACTTGTGATGCTAGGTGTTTTCGGGGTATGTGTATGGTACCGGTGGGGTTTGTATTTTTTTTTTATTTGGGAGGGGGGGGCAGTTAGGGGCGAACAGGATTGAATTGATTGAATTGATGTGATTGAACTGAAGTGGAGTGAAGAAGATTGTTGATGTGTTGTATCATGCTAAGTTTGAGTTTCGGTTCTTGGGTGACCTGTTTTCCGCTTGGGTTGACGCTTTGGAGTCCTGATCGTTGGTAGGGCTTTAACTGCGCTGTAAAGTTTAGGTTAAATTACTAAAGAACAAACATGTGATAAGGCTCTGGTAGCTCAGGGGTTAGAGCATGCGATTGCAGATCGCAGGGTCGATCGTTCGAATCGGTCTCAGAGCTTTTTTTCCACCCCCCTTTCCCCTATGGTATCCCCCATCTCCTCTCCTATCCTCCGCATCCCTTCTCCCTCTTTATGATGACCATTATAATATTTATTTATTCATTTTAGTTTCCGCTTTCTTTTCCATTGTGTTTTCGGAACTGGTATGGCATGCGGCAGGGCAGAAACAGGACTTGCCGACAGCTGCATTGCATGAAGTGGTCATGGGAGTCAGGCTCGGCCGGGGGTTTAGCCGATGGGGAGTTTATTCAATAAAATAATAATATTATTATCCTGCCACTGTGGAGGAATGGGAGGGGAGGGGAGGGGAGGGAGATGGGATGGGATGTGGTGAGACTGCGGGCACGGGTTTTGGTTTTGGTTTCTCGGGTATGGGGGGGCAAGGTAAAGGAATAGAGGTTTATGTGGGCGGTATCATACCGGTAGTGGTTTTGTGGGAGTGCTTGCTTTTTTTCTTTCTTTTTTTCTTTTTTTCTTTGTTTTTTTGGCGGGGTAGCTGAGTGTCAGTCTATCCCTACCGGGTGGTGGGATCGGGGGTGCCGCATTGAGGTACTGGTTGTGGGTGATATTTTGTTCAAAGTTAGATATTGTGCATCTTCCTCTTCCTCTTTATGATATGATAGCTATCGTATCTTACAAACGGTGTCATCATTCTAGCCCTGCGGGCAGTTATAATACCTGCGGTATGATTGAACGATCCGACGGGGCTAAATCGCGGGATAGTTCAACCCGTTCCGAACTTACTTACATACTCACATCCCAGCTAGGAATTCTGACTCCTCCTTTTTTCTTTATCATACTACTACTACTCCCTGATGCGTTATTGAATATACACACCCGCAATACCGGTACATACCTGCCCACTGTCAGTCAGATCTTTGCTTTTTTTTATTTTTTTTATTTTTATTTTACTTTTCTACACTTTTTTTTTCCTCCTGTGCGGAAGTGGACGGTTTCTTCATTTACGGTAAATAATTCCTGACGACCAACGCGTGCTACAGATGACAGGTGCGATCGATGATCACCTATCGAGCGAATGAAACTCGAGGCAGGTGCCATAGGGCTGTAAATCGAATGCCTTAATGTATCATACGGCAGTCAATGATTTCGTTATATCTTGTCGTGGATGAGACTGGGGGGAGGGGAGGCGGTTATCGTGCTATCATCCTATGATAACGGTGCATGCCATCTAGTCGCGGCACCGAGGGCGTAGCCATGGGGGACACAACGGGGAATGCCTTGGCATTCATTCAGGTGGGAGATTATGAACTTAGGATCAAATTTTTCGGGCATCATACCATGGAACAATTTCTCGTATGATATGATACTTTGTATTTTTCTGTATCGCGATCCAAATATGTGATAGTTTTATCCCGGTGGTCTGGGATTGAGCACCTTTAACCTCATAAACTCCTGATTTCCAATATCTTTAATCATTTGCACTATATTATTCTGTTCACTTTTAGACTATATAAAAAATTGGTATCTAAAGGATGTGAATCTCAACGATGGGTGGATATGTCAATGGCAGAATATATACAGTTTTGGGTATTTGATACTTGGTTTAATGCTTCATGCTATTAGGTGCTTTTGCATAATAGTATAATATAATGATGGGAGTGTGAAATGAAAAGACAAAACAGAAAGAATTATTCATGATACACTAAGAAATTAATCACGAGCCCATAGTATCCCACCTGAAGGAGTGCTAAGGCATCCCGCGTTGCATTCCTGTTGCATCCCCCATGGCTGTGCCCTTAGTGCTGTGACTAGACGGCGTGCACCATATCATACCTATCATTCATACCTGTCATTTGTGGCATCATATGGTTAGTGGAAATATAGTATAGAATAAGCGTGATCGAATGGTATCGTATGGAAGGATTTGCAAGGGTTTAAGTGAAGAAGGGGGATGGGGGGTCATGATCCGTTGGGTTAGGGTTTTTATCTGGGTGGATAGTATCATATGATATGATACTATATCATTCAATCGTTGTGGCTTGAGGGGGAGGCTTGCTCTCTTTCGATAACGGGTGGGGGTTGTGGCGGCCGGATTGGGGTGGGGTGGACTGGAGGGTGTTTCCACATCAAAGCTAGACCTTCAGGTAGTGCTGGAAGTTGATGGGGGCAAGTCGGTGCGGGGATAGTGGCGTTTGGTCCCGACGGGGGAGTATGATAGAGCAGTCCTTGCCAAGCCTGTTAACTACCGAGTGAGATATCATGATGGTCCTAGACGAGTTATGCGGAAGGAAGCGCTGGTGATTATTATGGGATAATTATTACTACTGTCATAATATGTTTCTTGTTGTGGTGGGGCGGGGTTGGGGGTGAGAGTTTGTGTTATGCGGCGCTGATAGACATGCACAGGGGCACCGTTACGTGCTATGGTACCGGGTACTTCTCCAGCTCAGAAAAGCCGGCAATGGCAAGGGCTTTGTAAGAAATACAGGTAGTCATAACTTTCTTTGATAAATTATCTCCACGACCCCCGCCAGGCCGCTATTATAACAACACGGTACCAAGTAGAACCTCAGGCACTAGAATTTCGTCCGCTCGTCTATTCCCGTGATGATGTTGCTATAGCCGTCCGAGTGTGGGTTTTTCTTGCAGTGTCGGTCCGGTCATGGTGCTTCTGGCCGGGGACACGGTATGTCCGCATGTATGTATGTATGTATGTAAACCCGTAACACTGCTTAATTTGGCGAGGGGTGTTTTGTGGGTAGATGTTGAAAATAACACTGGGCACTCGTGGTCTTGCTGCTCAGGACGTTTTTGTCGACTGGGTGGTCGTAAAATCTCTTCCTGTGATGTCGATAGCAGCGCTACTGGTTGTACGCCCAGTGGGTGGAGTATGCATTGTGGATTTGGGAAGACACTCGGGCACCTCTGGCCGATAGGGGAGGCCCCGGAGCAAGCTGGCACCCCTTGATATTATTGCGGCGATATCGGGTAGGAGGACCACGGATATTATTTTTTTCACCCCCATCATCATCAAAAAAACACTGAACATCACGTTATAGCACCGATATATCACGCCCCTGCGGCTAAGGCAATGCCGGAGCACTGTTAAGCGTGGATAATACCAAACTGCGCACCATGGTCCCTACCCAGCAGGAAATAATAGAAAGGTGTAAAAAGAGGCAACGATAGTTGTTCCGCATGGGGTAGATCACTCTAGTGCCTGAAGGAAGCCTAATTCTAGTCACTTTGCACACGAGCCAGTTTTATTACAAGCGGGGACAGTACAAGTGCTGTACAGTGGAGCCGGAAAACCACTAGAATCTCGCACTGCCTCTTCACACTTGTATTACGCTATGGGTGTATAGAGCTGGCACTTACAGGCGCCCTCTCCTCCGCCTTCCCTGGCGCTTGAGCGATTCGCTCTTTGCGAAGGACTCAGCGCCGAGAAAAGCGATCGCCATAGCTCCCTGCGTTCGGAAACCGGTACTTCCAGAGATGAGTGGGGATTACACACTGCATACGATACCCCTTTCCTGTAAGCAAAGTTGTGCTCAACTATACAATGTGAGGTTGCGAAATAGGAGGGACCGTCCTACTACTTCCGCATGCTAGCACCGGACTCTTTTCTAACTCCTCAGCCTTGAAAAGCAATATAGCGGACCCAACTTCACTCTGGGTCGAGTACTCTTGCAGAGCTAGCAGAAACACCACAACCTCGCATGCCTTGAGTGGGCATCACCGGTATTGCGATGCCTCCGGTTGATACCCCATGTATTTCGGGCGACACAAACACCAGGCGGCGGCGGTGGCGAGAGGAGTGCTTGCTGGCAAACCAGCAAGTTTTTTGGTCTTTAAAACAAGACAAGGGTTTAGGTGACCGGTACTTGTTTTCGTCAGGCAGGCCCGGGACCACGGGGTTCCGTCCCGCTCCCACTTCCGCTGCCCACAGCTTCAGCTTTGGGTTTTTGCCTTGTCGTAGGATTTTTCCTGCATGCAATGGTTGTGCCCTTGAAATGTGCTCGACCAAGTATGATTGTAACACAAGCAACGAAAAAAAAAACCTTGTCAGGGACTTTATTCCCCGCGCCAGTACAGTACTACCGGTGCCATGGGGGTTTGAATAATCGGTCCAGGTGCTATCGCTGGTTGCTGCCTTCGTTATGGTCTGGGGATTTTTTTTTTTTTTTTTGAGTCTCAGAGGGCCGGGGACCGAGAAGATCTTTTGTCACTCGAATACTGTCATTTTTTGCCCCTCTTCCGAGGCAGGGAATTCTGGATCACGGCACTGCACATAGCACACAGTTCCATTACAGTGCTCGAGTATTTACTCTTATAGTATCCCTGCTCTTATCCCCCCTTCCATTAGCGCACATCGTGTGCAACGATGCAGCATTCCCGCCACTCTTGCAAGGCGTGCGGGAATTCAGATCACCGGCACCTCGCATCGATATCGCATCGTATCGAATTCCAGGGGCGAGGAGAGGGATACCATACAAGTACGGTATTTGATTAACGGCGATCGGGGGTGCTATTCTTGGAACCAAAGATCTGCGCAAGCTGCGGGGTTTGTTTGAAGTTCAGCTGAACAGCCCCAAACGCACGCACTGTCCTACCCTCACTTGGGTTTATTCCGAACTTGGAATGTTAGGCTGGGCTCGGCTCGGTAGGGGTTGTTGCTCGGTAGGGTCCGTTTGCATAGGAGTTGTCTTGTGCGTTACCGTACTTGGGTTTAGGTACGGTATGGTTCGGTGAAGTTTAGAGTACTCGAGTATGATAGCATTTACAGTACAGTTTAC